AAGAGATTTGATTGATTATTTGAGGTGCCAAATATACAAGAGTGCACAAAATACAGGACTCTTATTTCACATGTAGAATTAAACAAGAAATCAAATAAACCCAAAAGCAGAATGGAAGGGAGAAATTAAAGACACTCATTTTACCATGTAGAATCACAGAAGTTAGGCTGGGAGATAGCCCAGTGGTCTAAGCACCCGCCTGGCAAGCTTAGGGACCCGGGTTCAAGAGCTGGTACTGCAGGCCGTACTGGCTTTGAAACCCTGGGTGTGCTGTGCTGCCCACTGAAACTGGGCATGGTGGCTCATGCTTGTAATCCCAGAGCTGAGGAGGCTGAAAGAAGAGGGTCACTATGTGTTTAAGCGGCATAGTGAGACCCTGAATCAAAATAAATAATAATAATAATAATTAAAAAATAAATCTTTAAAAAAAAGAATCAGAAGTTATCAATGGAAGAAGTAACATTTGAACTTGTGGAAATAATGTTTGCTCTGTATTTTGAAAACCTAAAAGGAAAACTTGAGACACACAGGAGGAGAAAATATACTGCAAATGGCAGGTATAGTACAGCTCAAGTGTAGTGTCGTACGGTGATTGTGCAGTAGAGCTGGTCCACGCGTTACTGCAGGGGGATAGTGGATGGGCTTGCAGAGAAAGCCAAAGCAGTGTCAGACAGTGAAAGTCTGTTGTTTGCAGTTCAAGGTCTGCTTGCAGGACAGTTTTCTCTGTATGTCTGGTAGTCATGTCAAGCTTAGTGTAACCAAATTTCACACATGATGTACTACCTGTGTTATTATAGTTCCTTCTGTACTAGTCATGTTATCATAGATCCTCAATGTCACCTCATCCCCAGGGAGCTAGAAATTGTGTCAAATTCTTCCTTGCTCCTCATTCACACATCTTGGTCTCTAGGTTCTATAACTTCTATTTATTTATTTATTTATTTATTTATTTATTTATTTATTTGTATTTTAGTAAAGGTCTACAGGGTCTATAGGGTCTCACTACACAGATTGGACTCATAGTGATCTGCCTGTGTTCAGCCTCCCAAGAGCTGGGATTACAGGCAAGTGCTGCCACGCCTAGTCTCAATTGCTGTCTCCGTGTGCCCCAGGGACAGGCTGGGGATCAAACCTCTGACCCCTGCATTTGCCTAAGCAGTGGCTTTAATCCGCTGAGCTATTTGGCTGACCCTATGTTCTGTAACTTCTCACCTGAATTATTATCCTCATTATGCCTTTTCTTACTACTTCAGTTCATGCTTTCATCACTGGACACTAGCACTATTGTAATGACAAACTGATTTTTTAAAGATGTTGTGGTTTTCAATTCTTCCACCTAGATCTCACCAAATTGATCTTTTCTGAAAATGTAGGCTATATCTATCTTTCCAGGCTTGAAATATTTTAGTGAGAAATATCTTCTTATTTCTGTAAGATAAATTCAAACTTCTCAGGATAGGTTCAAGCGATTCTATAGAGCAAAACCACAGTGTGAAGCAGGTGTAGGATGAAGAGAAGTGGGAAATCACTAGGTGGACATGAGGTGAGACAGACCGTGGTCAACTAATTAGACTATGAGTCTTACTGTTCAGGTAAAACTGATTAAATCAGGATCAAATGGGAAAGTGTGTCACATAACAAGTGGGCATGAATACAGAAAAGGGGCATTTCCTGTAATGGTGTGGGTTAGTGGCTCTTCCTGTATTTCTCCGGTTGATTGACACCTATTTAGAATATTAGTCCCTGATGTTTGTCTTTAGGAAGCATATGGGTGCA